CAGTACAACATGGACAGATATCAATACAGCACAACATGGACAGATATCAATACAGTACAACATGAGACAGATATCAATACAGCACAACATGAGACAGATATCAATACAGTACAACATGGACAGATATCAATACAGTACAACATGAGACAGATATCAATACAGTACAACATGAGACAGATATCAATACAGCACAACATGAGACAGATATCAATGCAGCACAACATGCGACAGATATCAATACAGTACAACATGAGACAGATATCAATACAGTACAACATGAGACAGATATCAATACAGCACAACATGAGACAGATATCAATACAGTACAACATGCGACAGATATCAATACAGTACAACATGAGACAGATATCAATACAGACAACATGGACAGATATCAATACAGTACAACATGCGACAGATATCAATACAGTACAACATGAGACAGATATCAATACAGCACAACATGAGACAGATATCAATGCAGCACAACATGAGACAGATATCAATACAGTACAACATGAGACAGATATCAATACAGTACAACATGAGACAGATATTAATACAGTACAACATGAGACAGATATCAATACAGTACAACATGAGACAGATATCAATACAGCACAACATGAGACAGATATCAATACAGTACAACATGAGACAGATATCAATACAGTACAACATGAGACAGATATCAATACAGTACAACATGAGACAGATATAAATACAGTACAACATGACAGATATCAATACAGCACAACATGCGACAGATATCAATACAGTACAACATGTGACAGATATCAATACAGTACAACATGCGACAGATATCAATACAGCACAACATGCGACAGATACCAATACAGCACAACATGCGACAGATATCAATACAGTACAACATGCGACAGATATCAATACAGTACAACATGCGACAGATATCAATACAGCACAACATGCGACAGATATCAATACAGTACAACATGAGACAGATATCAATACAGCACAACATGCGACAGATATCAATACAGTACAACATGAGACAGATATCAATACAGCACAACATGAGACAGATATCAATGCAGCACAACATGCGACAGATATCAATACAGTACAACATGAGACAGATATCAATACAGTACAACATGAGACAGATATCAATACAGTACAACATGAGACAGATATCAATACAGCACAACATGAGACAGATATCAATACAGCACAACATGCGAAAGATATCAATACAGCACAACATGCGACAGATATCAATACAGCACAACATGCGACAGATATCAATACAGCACAACATGCGACAGATATCAATACAGCACAACATGAGACAGATATCAATACAGCACAAAATGAGACAGATATCAATACAGTACAACATGAGACAGATATCAATACAGCACAACATGCGACAGATATCAATACAGTACAACATGAGACAGATATCAATACAGCACAACATGCGACAGATATCAATACAGCACAACATGCGACAGATATCAATACAGCACAACATGCGACAGATATCAATACAGCACAACATGCGACAGATATCAATACAGCACAACATGCGACAGATATCAATACAGCACAACATGCGACAGATATCAATACAGCACAACATGCGACAGATATCAATACAGCACAACATGCGACAGATATCAATACAGCACAACATGCGACAGATATCAATACAGTACAACATGCGACAGATATCAATACAGCACAACATGAGACAGATATCAATACAGTACAACATGAGACAGATACCATTGCAGTACAAATAGATTAAAACATAATATGGAATGTAACACAATTATAGATAATGTCCATGTGGTGGTTTCAAATAATGTTACTACATTTACATTTTACATTTTAGTCATTTAGCAGATGCTCTTATCCAGAGCGACTTTACAGTTAGTGAGTGCATACATTATTTGTTTTCATACTACTAGCTTGCTCTATTCCTGCATTTCCTGAACATGTCTATCTGATATAACTAGCTAGTAGTTATTGTTCTATAGGCTTTCCTCCTCCTTGCTGGTCGGCAGATGCTTGACTACTTGATTATTTTGTTGTGGTTGTGACATTTCATGGACATTGCAATAGAACAACAACAAGCTAAGCTTTATCAAATAGACATTTTGAGAAAAAGCAGCTCATTTAGTGTGCCAATACCACGTCTATCTTTACATAAGAAAGGTCGGTGGACCAAGATTCAAAGGTCAGATTAAGGAAGGAAGAGGTGGTGTTTGCTCGATTGCGCTTAGAACATTGTACATTGAATCATTACATCTGGTTGGCAAGCATCTGGTTGGCATGTGAATGGTTTGTGTCTGGAGTGTATGGTCGATGAAACGGTGGAAAATGTGTTGTTATATTGTTGTAAGTATGTTGGAGAGAGGGAAAGATTGAAGTGTAGGGTCATTGAGGTTGGACGGTGTTGGTGGGGGGTTGGAAGGGATTTGGGGGATGGGGGAGGGTCAATTAGAAGTTACCACGGCTCTTTTTTATTTTCTAAGAGGTACTGAGTTAGGTAGGAGGATTTAGAAATGTTGTAAACCGTGATTGACCACCCACTCCACCACAGTAGGTGGCGGCATGCACTTTTAACGTTTGTTTGCGGACCGCCATTATATCATAGAAGAAGAAGTTGCTTCGTCATCCACACACACTTCAGTCATATGCAGTGTAGGTAGAGCGCAAGCAAGCTTCTTACTACAATTGGTCTTTATTCAGCATCGACAAGACGTGGCATCATTTTGGTACGTTTTTAAAAGAACAACATCGCAGGAAATACCATCCGGCTAGCTAGCTACTATGGTCACGTTGCCATTGATTGATTTAGATAACGTTAGCTAGCTAGCTAACTAACTAGTAGTAACCACCATACATAGCTAGCACAGCGGTAGATGGATAACTGTCATACACGTGTCGCACGTGGTACGTTTCTTCACGTAACGTTAGATAAGATAAAATAAATAGGTTGTTCCAACATCAAATTGAACCATGACATAGTTTGCTAGATTATAGACAAACACTGATATAGCAAGCGGACTAAACTCCACTCCATGGTGAAGCAGAGACCAGGGGCGTCATTTGAGAAAGGTGTAATTCTGGCCGTTCATGCATCTGCAGGGACCCCTCTTTAAACTCATGTTGGTCCATTTTTTAAGTTGCACTATGCACAAATCGCTCCACCATTTCCTGGTTGCTAAAACGAATAGTTCGCCTAATGTCGGTTTGTGTGACAAAATAAGATGGTGTAGTGGAATCATTGTACCATCTAAACTGCTGTGAAATAGATTTTACATGACCAAAAATATTGTTGTTACAGCTGTTTGAAGCTGGTGTACAAAACCGAAAGTAAAAGGCAAAAAAAACTGAACTTTTATTTTTATTTCATCTTTATTTAACCAGGTAAGCCAGTTGAGAACAAGTTGTCATTTACAACTGCGACCTGGCCAAGATAAAGCAAAGCAGTGCGATAAAAACAACAACACAGAGTTACATATGGAATAAACAAAACATAAAGTCAAAAATACAACAGAAAATATATATACAGTGTGTGCAAATGTAGCAAGTTATGGAAGTAAGGCAATAAATAGGCCATAGTGCAAAATAATTACAATTTAGTATTAACACTGGAATGATAGATGTGTAGAAGATGATGTGCAAATGGAGATACTGGGGTGCAAAAGAGCAAAAATAAATAACAATATGGGGATGAGGTAGTTGGGTGGGCTAATTACAGATGGGCTGTGTACAGGTGCAGTGATCGGTAAGCTGCTCTGACAACTGATGCTTAAAGTTAGTGAGGGAGATAAGAGTCTCCAGCTTCAGAGATTTTTGCAGTTCCTTCCAGTCATTGGCAGCAGAGAACTGGAAGAAATGGCGGCCAAAGGAGGTGTTGGCTTTGGGAATGACCAGAGAGATATACCTGCTGGAGCGCAGACTACGGGTGGGTGTTGCTATGGTGACCAATGAGCTAAAATAAGGCGGGGATTTGCCTAGCAGTGATTTATAGACGACCTGGAGCCAGTGGGTTTGGCGACTAATATGTAGTGAGGGCCAGCCAACGAGAGCGTACAGGTCACAGTGGTGGGTAGTGTATGGGGCTTTGGAGACAAAACGGATGGCACTGTGATAGACTACATCCAATTTGCTGAGTAGAGTGTTGGAGGATATTTTGTAAATGACATCGCCGAAGTCAAGGATTGGTAGGATAGTCCGTTTTACGAGGGCATGTTTGGCAGCATGAGTGAAGGAGGCTTTGTTGCGAAATAGGAAGCCGATTCTGGATTTAACTTTGGATTGGAGATGCTTAATGTGAGTCTGGAAGGAGAGTTTACAGTCTAACCAGACACCTAGGTATTTGTAGTTGTCCACATATTCTAAGTCAGACCCGCCGAGAGTAGTGATTCTAGTTCGGTAGTCTTCTCTGCAGATCCTATCAAGCTCTGTCAGGTTGGATGGGGAGCGTTGCTGCACAGCTATTTTCAGGTTTCTCCAGAGATGTTAGATCGGGTTCAAGTCTGGGCTTTGGCTGGGCCACTAAAGGACATTCAGAGACTTGTCCCGAAGCCACTCCTGCGTTGTCTTGGCTTGAGAGGATCTGCAGAGAAGAATGGAAGAAACTCCCCAAATACAGGTGTGCCAAGCTTGTAGCGTCATACCCAAGAAGACTCGAGGCTGTAATCGCTGCCGAAGGTGCTTTAATAAAGTACTGAGTAAAGGGTCTGAATACTTATGTAAATGTCTTATTTCATTTGTTTTTATGTGCAAAAATGTATAAAAACCAGTTTTTGCTTTGTCATGATGGGGTATTGTGTGTAGATTGATGAGGGGGAAAAAACTATTTAATCAATTTTAGAATAAGGCTGTAACGTAATAAAACGTGGAAACGTCAAGGGGTCTGAATACTTTCCGAATGCACTGTCGATAGCTAGCTACTGTACCAGTAACCCTGTTGATGTGCTTCAGATGTTCCAGAGTCCACAATGACAGCAGTTCCAGAATACCGCTCAGTGTTTGAGTACTGTCTTCAAGACTCTGCTCTACAGGATCTCAGAGAAGTTACTGGTATCCATGAGCCTCCTGAACACACCCAGAATGCATCACACGGCCAGAATCCATCACACACCCAGAATCCATCACACGGCCAGAATCCATCACACACCCAGAATGCATCACACGGCCATGGTGGGTAGCTAGCTGTACCCTGATGTAGCTTTATGTGTTGGACATCCTGAAAGCAGTGATTGTGGCTCTACTGGTAGTTTATTTATCATAGAAATAGTGCATGGGTAAATAGTCATTAATATACTTAACAAAAATATAAAACGCAACATGTAAAGTGTTGGTCCCATGTTTCATTAGCTGAAATAAAAGATCCCAGACATTTTTCCCATACGCACAAAAAAAGCTTATTTCTCTCAAATGTCGTGCACAAATGTGTTTACATCCCTGTTAGTGAGCGTTTCTCCTTTGCCAAGATAATCCATCCACCTGACAGGTGTGGCATATCAAGAAGCTGATTAAACAGCATGATCATTACACAGGTGCACCTTGTGCTGGGGACAATAAAAGGCCACTCTAAAATGTGCAGTTTTGTCACACAACACAATGCCACAGATGTCTCAAGTTTTGAGGGAGCGTGCAATTGGCATGCTGACTGCAGGAATGTCCACCAGAGCTGTTGCCAGAGAATTTAATGTTAATTTCTCTACCATAAGCCGCCTCCAATGTTGTTTTTGAGAATTTGGCAGTACGTCCAACCGGCCTCACAACCGCAGACCACGTTTAACCGCGCCAACACAGGACCTCTACATCCGGCTTCTTCACCTGCGGGATCGTCTGAGACCGGCCACCTGGACAGCTGATGAAACTGAGGAGTATTTCTGTCTCTAATAAAATCCCTTTTGATTGGCTGGGCCTGGCTCCCCAGTGGGTGGGCTATGCCCTCCAAGGCCCACCCATTGCTGCGCCCCTACCCAGTCATATGAAATCCATAGATTAGGGCCTAATTAATTTATTTAATTTGACTGATTTCCTTCTATGAACTGTTCGGTATAGTATATCACCCATGTTACTCAAGGACTGAATGTATGTCATCCAAACAGGAGTGGCTGTATGCCCCAAGGAGGATCTCCTGGATGACACACAGCCAGAGAGAGAGAGCAGCCTGGGGAGAGATGTGTCTGACAGGATGGTGTGCTCGGCCTGCCAGTGCCCCTTCGACACCCGGGAGGAGCAGGTGAATAAACCGACTGACGGTTGGGATGGACTGACCACGGACATAATGGAGAGATTCACCCATTTTGAATATTATATTGTTTTTTTTTTGGCATCTCTGAGCGATGTTCTATCGATTCCCGGTTGGTGTTACGATACCAACATTATACTAACGATACGATTCCAGGCCAAGCATCAAATTTACCGAGTAGTATCGCGATACCACGGGGGGGAAAATTCAGTGGCTTAGCATCCTCCTGTTAGCGCCGTCCCCCCTACGCTTGGTCCCATTCTAGAAACGTTATGTGCAAGGGCTACGTAAAAACCTGTCACTGATATTCACACTTCTACTCAATACAACACATATTGAATTAACTTCACACTGTTCACTGATATTCACACTTCTACTCAATACAACACATATTTAATTAACTTCACACTGTTCACTGATATTCACACTTCTACTCAATACAACACATATTGAATTAACTTCACACTGTTCACTGATATTCACACTTCTACTCAGTACAACACATATTGAATTAACTTCACACTGTTCACTGATATTCACACTTCTACTCAATACAACACATATTGAATTGACTTCACACTGTTCACTGTATAATATAATACTGCATAGAATGGCTAAATTTGCTCATATTCACAAAGGCCTACCTGTGATTTGGCTGGAGGAATGGGAGGAAGGAACAACTTTCCATGACAGACTGACCAGGTGAATCCAAGTCAAAGTTATGATCCCTTATTGATGTCACTTGATAAATCCACTTCAAGCCTCATGTCCACCAGATGCGTCAAACTCTTTGCGTTCCGACGGAAGTCATTCATTGTCAATGGAGCAGTCCGCAACGCTACGTTGGGGGTGCCTCGCTAGGCTGCGGTGCGTTCTGTGTACCGCATGTGTTCAATATGTACAACTCGTGCGTTGCTTTACCGTGCGGTGGTACAAACAGAAGTTCATAAACAGTCAAGCCAGTTAGATAGCTAGCTAGCTAGCTAGCTAGCTAGCTAACTACAAAGCTAACCACTTTGCTAGATAGCTTAGCTAAAGAAACTGCCAGCACCTAGCTTCCACTTTCCAGCTAATTATTTCACATTCAACTGACCAGGTAATCCAATCGTATTGGTAATGTGTCTCAATGCAGCATTATTAGCATGGAGGTCCCGGTAGCAATCGGCGCTTTGGTCGAACACGACAGGGAACCCAGAGACAGCGAAAATGACCTTCTCCATGCTGCAAACCTTTCTGCAGCCGTGCGAAACATCAAGTATGGAAAATGCGGACTAGACATCCGGCAAAAACAATATACAGCAAAACGAATGGACAGTTTCAGGTTACAGCGTGACAGCACTCAGACTGGCCTGTGCTATTGGTTATAACAGGCGATGAAGTGATACAATGTATCAACTTTGCTGCTCCAATGTAACACATCTAACAGAATACTCATCAGGGTCTGCACCCCCATGGCTAAATTATATTTAAAAAAACTGACGGCGGAATAGATGTGCAGGAAGCGCAGCCTGAGAGAAGCAAGCGAGTGAGTGATGCCCCGTTTACACCAAATTTTCATCTTCTCTGGTTTGGTAACTTCATTTTCTTCGACGGACGCTAGCTGGACTGAAGACTGCGCAAAGTTTGGAAAATGTCAAAGTATGCTGCGTCCGTCTCGCAACGACGGAGCCTTCAACCCGCAAGGTGGCGTTGCATTTCCACTCCGTTGTGGACGTCCCCATTTGAAATGCATCCGGCGCAACGTAACAGAGTGCTTATGGGTAATGTGAACGAGGCTTTTGGGTTGGAAGGGGATGCGACTGGCGGATTCTTACAGCTGGTACACGTGATATGCGCGTGAAAGTGAAGTGCTTAATATTGGACCGGCGCATACGAGAGACTAGTGGATGTTGCTTAAATTCAACTGAATTTATAAATTGAATGAACTTATAAACATTTGATAACAGGCGCCGGCAGGTTCTTTAGATCGGAAGGCAGAAAGAGTCTGTAGTATCATATGAAACGGTACTACGGTATTCTAAAGTGTTGGTATCATGATGTTTTGGTACCGTGATATTACCGTGATACCGGTACATCTTGCAACACTATTTCCCGGTCATTTCCCGTGTCATTTCATGTGTATGACGTGTTTTCGCATCATATGACATGTAATACCAACTGTGTTTCTGCCCAATCATGAGCAGCAATAGCGCAACATACACATGAAAACATGAAATGACACCGGGAATCTCCCGAGTGGCGCAGTGGTCTAAGGCACTGCATCACAGTGCTAGCTGTGCCACTAAAGATCCTGGTTCGAATCCAGGCTCTGCTGTAGCCGGCCGCAACCGGGAGACCCATGGGGCGGCGCACAATTGGCCCAGCGTCGTCCAGGGTAGGGGAGGGAATGGCCGGCAGGGAGGTAGCTCAGTTGGTAGAGCATGGCGTTTGCAACGCCAGGGTTGGGGGAATCGAACCCACAATAAAAAAGAATAATGTATGCACTAACTGTAAGTCGCTCTGGATAAGAGCGTCTGCTAAATGACGTAAATGTAAAATGTAAATGAATCGATAGAAAATCGCTCGGGGATGCCCAAAACGATATAACATTCAAAATGGGCGAATCTTTCCTTTTTATAAGGATATTTCAGGATTTTGGCAATGAGGCCCTTTTATCTACTTCCCCAGAGTCAGATGAACTCGTGGATACCATGTTTATGTATCTGCGTGCAGTTTGAAGGAAGTTGCTAAACTAGCGTTAGCGCAATGACTAGTAGTATATTATATAGTCTAGCGAGTACCATAGACTTCTTCAAGTCATTGCGCTAACGCTAGTTAGCATTGGCTCGCGAAACGACCTCCAACTTCCTTCATACTGGACGCAGAGACCTAAAAATGATAACCATGAGTTCATCTGACTCTGGGAAAGTAGATCGGGCCTCATTGCCAACATCCTGAAGTATCCCTTTAAGTAGATCGGGCCTCATTGCCAACCATCCTGAAGTATCCCTTTAAGGTAGGATCGGGCCTCATTGCCAACATTCCTGAGTAATCCCCTTAAGTAGATCGGGGCCTCATTGCCAACATCCTGAAGTATCCCCTTTAAGTCGATCGGGCCTCATTGCCAACATCCTGAAAGTAATCCCTTGAAGTAGATCGGGCCTCATTGCCAACATCCATGAAGTATCCCCCCTTTTAAGTATGATCGGGGCCTCATTGCCAACATTCCTGAAGTATCCCTTTACGTAGAATCGGGCCGCATTGCCAACATCCTGAAGTATCCCTTTAAGTAGATCGGGCCTCATTGCCAACATCCTGAAGTATCCCTTTAAGTAGATCGGGCCTCATTGCCAACATCCTGAAGTATCCCTTTAAGTAGATCGGGCCTCATTGCCAACATCCTGAAGTATCCCTTTAAGTAGATCGGGCCTCATTGCCAACATCCTGAAGTATCCCTTTAAGTAGATCGGGCCTCATTGCCAACATCCTGAAGTATCCCTTTAAGGAGATTCGGGCCTCTTGCCAACACCCCTGAAGTATCCCTTTAAGTAATCGGGCCTCATTGATTGCCCAACATCCAGAAGGTATCCCTTTAAGTAATCGGGCCTCATTCCCAACATCCTGAAGTATCCCTTTAAGTAGATCGGCCTCTTGCCAAACATCCTGAAGTATCCCTTTAAGTAGATCGGGCCTCATTGCCAACATCCTGAAGTATCCCTTTAAGTAGATCGGGCCTCATTGCCAACATCCTGAAGTATCCCTTTAAGTAGATCGGGCCTCATTGCCAACATCCTGAAGTATCCCTTAAGTAGATCCCCATTGCCAACATCCTGAATATCCTTTATGTAGTCGGCCCCACCAACTGAACCTTAAAACGAGCTTTTTGATCCCTTTATAGTAGATCGGGCCTCATGCCAAATCTGAAGTTTGAGTTAAGTAGACTCGATGGGACTACATAAGCTAGAAGATATCCTTAATGAGCAGTAGTTGGAAAAAACGCACTCAGTATGCGACCAACTGTTGTTTGTTTGTTGTGAAACAATCTTTTATAGTAACTGGACTAACACAATAACGAACGAATTAGAAAATATTTATATGAATATAAAATTTAAATGCGAGATGAGTTGACGTTGACACAGCGTATATTGGGTGGAGTTAGTGGACTGGCAACCGTGTAGAGGAGAGGATAGAGAGGGCTCTGCCAGCTGAGAGTTGGAAGACGTGTGGTTTCCAACACTCAGACAACATTGCATGGTTCTAAGTTTCTAAATTTTTAAGTGTTCTAACCATACCATCACTCACAAATAAAAGCTCAATACAGGTGGATTTTGGAAGCTATCTGACACCTTTGTTTTTGTTTGTGTGAGAACCAGTCATTTAGTTAAATAAAAAAACGAAAATAATCATGACTAAACTATTAAAACGGAAATAACATAAACAAAGCAAGGAATGTTCCACGAGCAGCACAAGCAATATTGAGGTGGTTGACCTGGCTGAGGCAACCGACTGTAGAGGAGAGGAGTCAGAAGAGGTGCTCTGCTTCAGCTGAAAGTTGGACACTGATGTGGTTTTCCAACAGCTCAGATCAACATGGCAGTGTTGCCATGGTTTATAAAAGGTTATCTTCATAATGTTGAAATAAACATGTATCTAACCTCCATATCATACACTCACAAACTAAAAGCATAATACAGTGCATTTGGAAAGTATTCAGACCCCTTGACTTTTTCCACATTTTGTTACGTTACAGCCTTAGTCTAAATAAAAAAAATCCTCATTGAGAAATCATGTGACTAAACTGAATAAAAACAGGAAACTACACTATGAAACAAAGTTCAAGGTCCAATAGGTTACCACTGAAGGTCTAGGCCCAATAGGTTACCACTGAAGGCCCAATAGGTCACCACTGAAGGTCCAATAGGTTACCACTGAAGGCCCAATAGGTCACCACTGAAGGTCCAATAGGTTACCACTGAAGGTCCAATAGGTTATCACTGAAGGCCCAATAGGTTACCACTGAAGGTCCAATAGGTTACCACTGAAGGCCCAATAGGTCACCACTGAAGGTCCAATAGGTTACCACTGAAGGTCCAATAGGTTATCACTGAAGGCCCAATAGGTCACCACTGAAGGTCCAATAGGTTACCACTGAAGGTCCAATAGGTTACCACTGAAGGCCCAATAGGTTACCACTGAAGGCCCAATAGGTTACCACTGAAGGTCCAATAGGTTACCACTGAAGGTCCAATAGGTCACCACTGCCCAAACATGTCTATAATAGATAAAAAGGCTGCAGGTATTAATGTTTTATGAAAGGATATATTTTGCCTGGCGAAGCAGGTTTATGTGCTTACTGAATGGAAGCTGATAATTATGAGCTTTTTACTCCACTGGTCTCAGCTAGTCTCGGGAAGAAATTACGAGTCCTCACTGTCCGAGACAGAGTCAAGATGTATCTGATACCAGACACCGAGACAAGACTGAGACACTCAAAATGTGGTCTCGACCGTACTCACTACAACACTGGTGATAGCTACGGGAATTGCTGCTGAAATTGACCCACTACTACTGTTTACTTTGTCCATCTACGTCATCTCTCCGAGTCTACCTGTAAACCCAACGTGACCTGACCCATCGCCTTATGCATTACTAACTGAAGCTAAACTGAATTTCAAATGAAAATCTTAAAACTTAGATTTTGCTAGACATGTCTCCTGTGGACAGAGCAGATTAGTACCTACAAGGGAATAGAATGAAAAGACTAGGGTTGTGTCTCAAATTTACATATTAGTCATTTAGCAGACGGTCTTATCCAGAGCGACTTACAGGAGCAATTAGGGTTAAGTGCCTCGCTCAAGAGCACATCGACAGATTTATCACCTAGTCGGCTCGGGGATTAGAACCAGCGACCTTTCGGTTACTGGCACAACGCTCTTAACCACTAAGCTACCTGCCGCCCCAAATGGTACCCTGTTCCCTATATAGTGCTCTACTTTCAATAATGAGTGCTGGTCAAAAGCAGTGCTCTACTCTATTGTACTACTAATTTGGTCTGTCCACAGGAGACATGTCTAGCATCTCAGGTTCTGACTCGGAGCAGGAGGAGCCAGACGGTGACTGGGCTGTGGGCAACGCCGAGGCCGGTCCTCTACAGAAGGATGACAGTGTCCTAGAAGAGGAATCCTTCGGTCGCCTCTCCAACAGGGTCGTGTTCCAGAACTCTCAGGGCCAGTACCTGGCTGTCTACCGTTGTATTCTGCAGAGCAAGGTGAGACCCTTTTCCCCTATAATGGACTTGGGCAGACTTGGGATCTCAACACAAAATATTCGGCTCCCTTGGGAATGAATAAAGAATGAGTTATGTTATTATTATTATGAGTTACAGTGCTGTGAAAAAAGTATTTGCCCCCTTTCTAATTTTCTCTACATATTTTTGTTACTGAATGTTATCAGATCTTCAACCAAAACCTAATAATAGATCAAGGGAACCTGAGTGAACAAATAAAACAACAATTACAGTTGAAGTCGGAAGTTTACATACACTTAGGTTGGAGTCATTAAAAGTAGTTTTTAAACCACTCCACACATTTCTTGTTAATAAACCATAGTTTTGGCAAGTCGGTTAGGACATCTACTTTGTGCATGACACAAGTAATTTTTCCAACAATTGTTTACAGACAGATTATTTCACTTATAATTCACTTTATCACAATTCCAGTGGGTCAGAAGTTTACATACACTAAGTTGACGGTGCCTTTAAACAGCTTGGAAAATTCCAGAAAATGATGTCATGGCTTTAGAAGCTTCTGATAGGCTAATTGACATCATTTGAGTCAATTGGAGGTGTACCTGTGGATGTATTTCAAGGCCTACCTTCAAACTCAGTGCCTCTTTGCTTGACATCATGGGAAAATCAAAAGAAATCATACAAAGATCGTACTTTTTGGAGAAATGTCCTCTGGTCTGATGAAACAAAAATATAACTGTTTGGCCATAATGTCCATCGTTATGTTTGGAGGAAAATGGGGGATGCTTGCAAGCCGAAGAACACCATCCCAACCGTGAAGCACAGGGGTGGCAGCATCATGCTCTGGGGGTGCTTTGCTGCAGGAGGGACTGGTGCACTTCACAAAATAGATGGTATCATGAGGAAGGAAAATTATGTGGATATATTGAAGCAACATCTCAAGACATCAGTCAGGAAGTTAAAGCTTGGTCGCAAATGGCTCTTCCAAATGGACAATGACCCCAAGCATACTTCCAAAGTTGTGGCAAAATGGCTTAAGGACAACAAAGTCAAGGTATTGGAGTGGCCATCACAAAGCCCTGACCTCAATCCTATAGAATATTTGTGGGCAGAACTGAAAAGGCGTGTGCGAACAAGGAGGCCTACAAACCTGACTCAGTTACACCAGCTCTGTCAGGAGGAATGGGACAAAATTCACCCAACTTATTGTGGGAAGCTTGTGGAAGGCTACCCGAAACGTTTGACCCAAGTTAAACAATGTAAAGGCAATGCTACCAAATACTAATTGAGTGTATGTAAACTTCTGACCCACTGGGAATGTGATGAAATAAATAAAAGCTGAAATAAATCATTCTCTCTACTATTATTCTGACATTTCACATTCTTAAAATAAAGTGGTGATCCTAACTGACCTAAGACAATTTTTACTAGGATTAAATGTCAGGAATTTGTGAAAAACTGAGTTTAAATGTATTTGGCTAAGGTGTAGTAAACTTCCGACTTCAACTGTACATACTTATTTCATAAACAAAGTTATGCAACACCCAATGCCCTTGTGTGAAAAAGTAATTGCCCCCTTACACTCAATAACTGGTTGTGCCAGATTTAGCTGCAATGACTCCAACCAAATGCTTTCTGTAGTTGTTGATCAATCTCTCACGTCGCTGTGGAGGAATTTTGGCTCACTCTTCCAAGCAGAACTGCTTAAACTCCCAACATTTGTGGGTTTTCAAGCATGAACCGCTCGTTTCAAGGCCTGCGACAACATCTCAATTGGGATTAGGTCTGGACTTTGGCTAGGCCATTCCAAAACGTCCAATTTGTTGCCATTTTCATGTAGACTTGATTGTGTGGTTTGGATCATTGTCTTGCTGCATGACCCAGCTGCGCTTCAGCTTCAGCTCACAGACGGATGGTCTGACATTCTCCTGTAGAATTCTCTGATACAGAGCAGAATTCATGGTTCCTTCTATTAAGGCAAGTCGTCCAGGTCCTGAGGCAGCAAAGCATCCCCAAACCATCACACCACCACCACCATGCTTGACCGTTGGTATGAGGTTCTCACTGTGGAAGGCAGTGTTTGGTTTTCACCAGGCATAATAGGACCCATGTCGTCCAAAAAGTTGACTCCAGTTTGCCAAAAAGCACCAGGAAGCACCTGCATGATCATCAAGACTCTTGGAAGAATGTTCTATGGACAGATTAGTCAAAAGTAGAACTTTTTGGACGACATTTCTATAATTATTTCATCCACTCTGTATTTCAGTCTGCCATAGAGAAAGACTGTAAGATGGCTGACAGACATGGCCGCTCTGCTTCCAGCTCCTAAGCAACAGACATGGCAGCTCTGCTTCTAGCTCCTAAGCAACAGACATGGCAGCTCTGCTTCTAGCTCCTAAGCAACAGACATGGCAGCTCTGCTTCTAGCTCCTAAGCAACATACATGGCAGCTCTGCTTCTAGCTCCTAAGCAACATACATGGCAGCTCTGCTTCTAGCTCCTAAGCAACAGACATGGCAGCTCTGCTTCTAGCTCCTAAGCAACAGACATGGCAGCTCTGCTTCTAGCTCCTCAGCAACAGACATGGCAGCTCTGCTTCTAGCTCCTAAGCAACAGACATGGCAGCTCTGCTTCTAGCTCCTAAGCAACAGACATGGCAGCTCTGCTTCTAGCTCCTAAGCAGCAGACATGGCAGCTCTGCTTCTAGCTCCTAAGCAACAGACATGGCAGCTCTGCTTCTAGCTCCTAAGCAACAGACATGGCAGCTCTGCTTCTAGCTCCTAAAGCAACAGACATGGCAGCTCTGCTTCTAGCTCCTAAGCAACAGACATGGCAGCTCTGCTTCTAGCTCCTAAGCAACAGACATGGCAGCTCTGCTTCTAGCTCCTAAGCAGCAGACATGGCAGCTCTGCTTCTAGCTCCTAAGCAACAGACATGGCAGCTCTGCTTCTAGCTCCTAAGCAGCAGACATGGCAGCTCTGCTTCTAGCTCCTGAGCAACAGACATGGCAGCTCTGCTTCTAGCTCCTAAGCAACAGACATGGCAGCTCTGCTTCTAGCTCCTAAGCAACAGACATGGCAGCTCTGCTTCTAGCTCCTAAAGCAACAGACATGGCAGCTCTGCTTCTAGCTCCTAAAGCAACAGACATGGCAACTCTGCTTCTAGCTCCTAAGCAACAGACATGGCAGCTCTGCTTCTAGCTCCTAAGCAACAGACATGGCAGCTCTGCTTCTAGCTCCTAAGCAACAGACATGGCAGCTCTGCTTCTAGCTCCTAAAGCAACAGACATGGCAGCTCTGCTTCTAGCTCCTAAAGCAACAGACATGGCAACTCTGCTTCTAGCTCCTAAGCAACAGACATGGCAGCTCTGCTTCTAGCTCCTAAAGCAACAGACATGGCAGCTCTGCTTCTAGCTCCTAAGCAACTTTGCAGTATTTTGTTTTTTTGTGTGTTATTTCTTTGTTAGATACTGTTGGAGCTAGGAACACAAGTATTTCGCTACACCCGCAATAACATCTGCTAAAATATGTGTATGTGACCAATAACATTTGATTTGACATGGTGGCATCTCCACAGTCTCAGTAACAAGCCAATATGCATTTCAGTCTGCCATAAAGGAAGACCTGGTGGCCTCTCTACAGTCTCAGTCTTCCATAAAGGAAGACCTGGTGGCCTCTCTACAGAGTCTCAATAACAAGACTATGTGGGTCATTCTGATGGCAGGTGGTGGACACTTCGCTGGAGCTGTGTTTCAAGGGTCAGTGATGAGAAGCCTGGCTTCATATTCTTCATAGTTGTCAGAAATGGTACCGTATTCTCTAAATGGTGCGCTGTAGGGCTCTGGTCAAAAAATTGTGCAGTGGGTCCTGGGCACAGGTCTAAAGTAGTGTCCTGTGTAGGGAGTAGAGCCCCGGGGTAGGGAGTAGAGCCCTGGGGTAGGGAGTAGAGCCCCGGGTTAGGGAGTAGAGCCCCGGGGGTAGGGAGTAGAGCCCCGGGGGTAGGGAGTAGAGCCCCGGGGGTAGGGAGTAGAGCCCCGGGGGTAGGGAGTAGAGCCCCGGGGTAGGGAGTAGAGCCCCGGGGTAGGGAGTAGAGCCCCGGGGTAGGGAGTAGAGCCCCGGGGTAGGGAGTCGAGCCCCGGGGTAGGGAGTAGAGCCCCGGGGTAGGGAGTAGAGCCCCGGGGTAGGGAGTAGAGCCCCGGGGTAGGGAGTAGAGCCCCGGGGTAGGGAGTAGAGCCCCGGGGTAGGGAGTAGAGCCCCGGGGTAGGGAGTCGAGCCCCGGGGTAGGGAGTCGAGCCCCGGGGTAGGGAGTAGAGCCCCGGGTAGGGAGTAGAGCCCCGGGTAGGGAGTAGAGCCCCGGGTAGGGAGTAGAGCCCCGGGGTAGGGAGTAGAGCAAAGTGTAACAAAATGTGGAAAAAGTCAAGGGGTCTGAATACTTTCCGAATGCACTGTATAGGTCGGTATTCATTTTACGTCACAATAAGGTGCAGAGCGTTCGTTTTGTCTGCTGGGGGAAGGAGATCCCAGCTCCGCAAAAACCATTGACAACTACGTGCTGTTTTCATATGATTGTTAAATACATTTAATAACTGTTTGGTTTTAATATCATCACCTCTTGAAGAGCATAGTCAGAACTACACATTTCTGATTATTCCACATTTAGCTCTATCATCGGAGAGTACATGATCAATTGATGTTACTGATCATGAAAAGCTTGCAGTTACCTACTGTATAACTCCGATGATAGAGCTAAATGTGGAATAATCAGAAATGTGTAGTTCTGACTATGCTCTTCAAGAGGTGATGATATTAAAACCAAACCGTTATTAAATGTATTTAACAATCATATGAAAACAGCACGTAGTTGTCAATGGTTTTTGCGGAGCTGGGATCTCCTTTCCCCCCAGCAGACGAACGCTCTGCACCTTATTGTGACATTTTATTAATAACGACCTATACAGTGCATTCGGAAAGTATTCAGACCCCTTGACTTTTCCCACATTTTGTTACGTTACAGCCTTATTCTAAAATGGATTCAATTGTTTTTTCCCCCTCATCAATCTACACACAATACCCCATAATGACAAAGCAAAAACAGATTTTAGCAAATGTATTTAAAAAAATAGAGAACTGAAACATCACATTTACATAAGTATTCAGACCCTTCGCTATGAGACTCGAAATTGAGCTCAGGTGCATCCTGTTTCCATTGATCATCCTTGAGATGTTTCTACAACTTGATTGGAGTCCACCTGTGGTAAATTCAATTGATTGGACATGATTTGGAAAGGCACACACCTGTCTATATAAGGTCCCACAGTTGACAGTGCATGTCAGAGCATAAACCAAGCCATGAGGTCGAAGGAATTGTCCGTAGGGCTCCGAGACAGGATTGTGTCGAGGCACAGATCTGGGGAAGGGTACCAAAACATTTCTGCAGCATATTGTGTATTGTGTGTATATATTGATGAGGGAAAAAACATATTAAATCAATTTTAGAATAAGGCTGTAACGTAATAAAATGTGGAAAAATCAAAGGGTCCTAATGCACTATAAGTCTTCCTCTCAGTATTAAAATACGAATCATCTCCCCCACCTCTGCTGTTCTATGTTCCAGGAGAGACGTGTTGCAGCACAAGACGTTCCATCGGTACACTGTGAGAGCCAAGCGGGGGACAAGCCAGGGTCTGAGAGACGCTAAGAGCAGCAGTCACGCCCCTAAATCAGCTGGAGCTGCCCTGAGGAGATACAACGAGGCTGCACTAGTCAAGGCAACACAAATACTCTTATTTTGATGTATCTAGACTAACCGGGAGAGCTTGGGAGAGTTCACATTGGTTTTCCTCTGATTAGCCAGAACTACTATAAATACAAGTTAAAATATTATCTTCTCTTGCACACACATGAATGAACATATAAGGTTCTGTTTGGTCACACAGTGACGCTATTTCACAGGCCTCACCCTTCATGTAATGATAATCTGGGCTGATGGTGGGCCATTGCTTGCACCCCTTTAAAGGATCCCCCCAGAGGAAGTTGCCGACACTATTTCCACGTAATGTCCTAGAGAGGACGTTTAGGTTCTACCTCCGAACAATGACGAAGATTACCATGGTAATATCACAGTACCAAAACGTCATGTTATTTATGATACCAACCGTTTAGAATGCCTCTGACACCGCCTGGTATAGAGGTCCTGGATGGCAGGAAGCTTGGCCCCAGTGATATACTGGGCCGTACGCACTACCCTCTGTAGTGCCTTGCGGTCGGAGGCCGAGCAGTTGCCATACCATTTTTTACGTAAAAAAACAAACATTTTAGTCATTTAGCAGACGCTCTTATCCAGAGCGACTTACAGGAGCAATTAGGGTTAAGTGCCTTGCTCAAGGGCACATCGACAGATTTTTCACCTAGTCGGCTCGGGGATTAGAACCAGCGACTTTTCGGTTACTGGCACAACGCTCTTAACCACTAAGCTACCTGCCGCCCAGGCAGTGATGCAACCAGTCAGGATGCTCTCGATGGTGCAGCTGTAGAACCTTTTGAGGATCTGAGGACCCATGCCAAATCTTCTCAGTCTCTTTAGGGGGAATAGGCCAGGGTGCTCAGACGACGGGAGTCCAGGGGCTGACCTGAAACAAATCAAATCAAATCAAATTGTATTGGTCACATGCGCCGAATACAACAGGTGCAGACATTACAGTGAAATGCTTACTTACAGCCCTTAACCAACAGTGCATTTATTTTTAACAAAAAAAGTAAAAATAAAACAACAACAAATAAAGTGTTGAGAAAAAAAAGAGCAGAAGTAAAATAAAATAACAGTAGGGAGGCTATATATACAGGGGGGTACCGGTGCAGTCAATGTGCGGGGGCACCGGCTAGTTGAGGTAGTTGAAGTAATATGTACATGTGGGTAGAGTTAAAGTGACTATGCATAAATAATTAACAGAGTAGCAGCAGCGTAAAAAGGATGGGGTGGGGGGGCAGTGCAAATAGTCCGGGTAGCCATGATTAGCTGTTCAGGAATCTTATGGATTGGGGGTAGAAGCTGTTGAGAAGTCTTTTGGACCTAGACTTGGCACTCCGGTACCGCTTGCCGTGCGGTAGCAGAGAGAACAGTCTATGACTAGGGTGGCTGGAGTCTTTGACAATTTTGAGGGCCTTCCTCTGACACCGCCTGGTATAGAGGTCCTGGATGGCAGGAAGCTTGGCCCCAGTGATGTACTGGGCCGTACGCACTACTCTCTGTAGTGCCTTGCGGTCGGAGGCCAAGCAGTTGCCATACCAGGTGGTGATGCAACCAGTCGGGATGCTCTCGATGGTGCAGCTGTAGAATTTTTTGAGGATCTGAGGACCCATGCCAAATCTTTTCAGTCTCCTGAGGGGGAATAGGCTTTGTCGTGCCCTCTTCACGATTGTCTTGGTGTGGTTGGACCATGTTAGTTTGTTGGTGATGTGGACACCAAGTAACTTGAAGCTCTCAACCTGCTCGGTCCTCTTCTTTTTCCTGTAGTCCACAATCATCTCCTTTCTCTTGATCACGTTGAGGGAGAGGTTGTTGTCCTGGCACCACACAGCCAGGTCTCTGACCTCCTCCCTATAGTCTGTCTCATCGTTGTCGGTGATCAGGCCTACCACTGTTGTGTCATCGGCAAACTTAATGATGGTGTTGGAGTCATGCTTAGCCATGCAGTCATGGGTGAACAATGAGAACAGGAGGGGATTGAGCACGCACCCCTGAGGGGCCCCCCTGTTGAGGATCAGCGTGGCAGATGTGTTGTTACCTAACCTTACCACCTGGGGGCGGCCAGTCAGGAAGTCCAGGATCCAGTTGCAGAGGGAGGTGTTTAGTCCCAGGGTCCTTAGCTTAGTGATGCGCTTTGAGGGCACTATGGTGTTGAACGCTGAGCTGTAGTCAATGAATAGCATTCTCACAAAGGTGTTCCTTTTGTCCAGGTGTGAAAGGGCAGTGTGGTGCGCAATAGAGATTGCATCATCTGTGGATCTGTTGGGGCGGAATGCAAATTGGAGTGGGTCTAGGGTTTCTGGGATAATGGTGTTGATGTGAGCCATGACCAGCCTTTCAAAGAACTTCATGGCTACAGACGTGAGTGCTACGGGTCGGTAGTCATTTAGGCAGGTTACCTTAGTATTCTTGGTCACAGGGACTATGGTGGTCTGCTTGAAACATGTTGGTATTACAGACTCAGATAGGGAGGGGTTGAAAATGTCAGTGAAGACACTTGCCAGTTGCTCAGCACATGCTCGGAGTACACATCCTGGTAATCCGTCTGGCCCTGCGGCCTTGTGAATGTTGACCTGCTTAAAAGTCCTACTCACATCGGCTACGGAGAGCGTGATCACATAGTCATCCGGAACAGCTGGTGCTCTCATGCATGCTTCAGTGTTGCTTGCCTCGAAGCGAGCATAGAAGTGGTTTAGCTCGTCTGGAAGTATTGTGTCACTGGGCAGCTCACGGCTGTGCCTCCCTTTGTAGTCTGTAATAGTTTTCAAGCCCTGCCACATCCGACGAGCGTCAGAGCCGATGTAGTACGATTCGATCTTAGTACTGTATTGACTCTTTGCCTGTTTGATGGTTCGTCGGAGGGCATAGCGGGATTTCTTATAAGCGTCCGGGTTAGAGTCCCGCTCCTTGTGGTCCTCTGTAGCTCAGCTGGTAGAGCACGGCGCTTGTAACGCCAAGGTAGTGGGTTCGATCCCTGGGAACACCCATACACAAAAATGTATGCACGCATGACTGTAAGTCGCTTTGGATAAAAGCGTCTGCTAAATGGCATATTATGATTATTATTATTATTATTATTATTATATTATTGAAAGCGGCAGCTCTACCCTTTAGCTCAATGCGGATGTTGCCTGTAATCCATGGCTTCTGGTTGGGGTATGTACATACGGTCACTGTGGGGACGACATCATCGATGCACTTATTGATGAAGCCAGTGACTGATGTGGTGTACTCCTCAATGCTATCGGAGGAATCCCGGAACATATTCCAGTCTGTGCTAGCAAAACAGTCCTGTAGCTTAGCATCTGCTTCATCTGACCACTTTTTTATTGACAGAGTCACTGGTGCTTCCTTCTTTAGTTTTTGCTTGTAAGCAGGAATCAGGAGGATATAATTATAGCCAGATTTGCCAAATGGAGGGCGAGGGAGAGCTTTGTATGCGTCTCTGTGTGTGGAGTAAAGGGGGTTTAGAGTTTTTTCCCCTCTGGTTGCACATTTAACATGCTGGTAGAAATGAGATAAAACAGATTTAAGTTTCCCTGCATTAAAGTCCCCGGCCACTAGGAGCGCTGCCTCTGGATGAGCGTTTTCCTGTTTAGTTATGGCCTTATACAGTTCATTGAGTGCGGTCTTAATGCCAGCATCGGTTTGTGGTGGTAAATAGACAGCTACGAATAATATAGATGAAAAACTCTCTTGGTAGATAGTGGGTCTACAACTTATCATGAGATACTCTACCTCAGGCGAGCAAAACCTCGAGACTTCCTTAGATATCGTGCACCAGCTGTTGTTTACAAATATACACAGACCACCACCCCTTGTCTTACCGGAGTCAGCCGTTCTATCCTGCCGATGCAGTGTATAACCCGCCAGCTGTATGTTATTCATGTCTTCGTTCAGCCACGACTCGGTGAAACATAAGATATTACAGTTTTTAATGTCCCGTTGGTAGGATATTCCTGCCTGTAGTTCGTCCACTTTATTATCAAGCGATTGTAAATTGGCCAATAGTATCGAAGGCAGATTAGCCACTCGTCGCCGGCTCCTTACCAAGCACCCCGATCTCCTTCCGCGATATCTCCTTTTCTTTCTACTGTGAATGACGGGGATGAGGGCCCTGTCGGGTGTCTGGAGCAAATCCCTCTCGTCCGACTCATAAAATAAAAATTATTTGTCCAGTTCAAGGTGAGTAATCGCTGTTCTGATGTTCAGAAGCTCTTTTCGGTCATAAGAGACGGTAGCAGCATCATTATGTACAAAATAAGTTACCAACAATGCGAAAAAACACACAAAATAGCACATTTGGTTAAGAGTCCATAAAACAGCAGCCATCCTCTCCGGCGCCATCTTATTGACTTAAATCGTTGTGCAACATCGTGGGTAAGCTCTCGCCATCGTCTTTCAGCTCGAAAAAGTGGATTTCTACTGGTGTGTTTAATGGCTGCTTGCAGCTTTATTGTTGTTGGTTATATAATTGATCTAATCGGTAGTTCCTTGTCCTCTGCTTGCAGGAGATCCAGGACCTACTGGAGAGCTGGTCTGACCACCTGACTGAAGCCAGTGCCATCTTCCTGCGTGCCCCCAGTTATAATAAAAGCATGTTCTTGTGGGGTAAGGCGGCTCCGCTGGCCAAGAAGGACCCTCGGATCAGAACACTACCCTTCCCCACACGTAGAGCCACCTTCAGAGAGGTTAAGAGAGTACATGATGTCCTCTCCACTCTAAATGTATATGGTACGAGTCATGTTTAATCTATGGGCCTAGTCCGGTATTAAAATATAGATTCTCCATTGAAAAGCAGTTTTCAGTCTAGGGCAAGGCTTAATCTGTGTCTGGCCTACATGTACGGTGCATTCGGAAAGTATTCAGACCCCTTGACTTTTTCCACATTTTGTTACATTACAACCTGATTCTAAAATGGATTAAATACATTTTTTTCCTCAATCTACACACAATACCCCATAATGACAAAGCAAAAACAGGTTTTTAGAATTTGTTGCAAATTTATAAATACAAAAAAAACGGAAATATCACATTTACATAAGTATTCAGACCCTTTGCTATGAGACTCGAAATTGTGCGCAGGTGTATCCTGTTTCCATTGATCATCCTTGAGATGTTTCTACAACTTGATTGGAGTCCACCTGTGGTAAATTCAATTGATTGGACATGATTTGGAAAGGCACCCACCTGTCTATATAAGGTCCCACAGTTGACAGTTCATGTCAGAGCAAAAACCAAGCCAAGAGTTGGAAGGGATTGTCCGCAGAGGTCCAAGACAGGATTGTGTCGAGGCACAGATCTGGGGAAGCGTACCAAAACATTTCTGCAGCGTTGAAGGTCCTCCATCATTCTTAAATGGAAGAAGTTTGGAACCACCAAGACACTTCCTAGAGCTGGCCGCCCGGCCAAACTGAGTAATCGGGGGAGAAGGGCCTTGGTCAGGGAGGTGACCAAGAACCTGATGGTCAATGACAGAGCTCCAGAGTTCCTCTGTGGAGATGGGAGAACCTTCCAGAAGGACAACC